CCCCCAATTATTCAATACTTTGCAGCTGTCTTGATGTGTGCAATGGTAACAAGTAATCATTATCGACCCCTTTACATTCCCTATAGGTTTGTAATTTCAAGTAGCATTATGCTTTATGCTGGTAATCTCTTTCCAACTTTCACTCTGTGATTGGAACCCGATGTTCATTCTGGCAAATAAGATGTTCAAATTCTGTGTTTATTACAACACATTTTTTCCTTTATTCCTCCTTATTACTTCCTCAATATGTACTTGTTCTTTCATAATTAATATCTTTTATTTTTTTGCAGACATCCGTTATTCCCCCTACTTGCGCTTCTATTTGAACGCTGTGAGCAGGCCACACAATCAGCAGAGTGTCCTAATTCTGAGAGTTTCAACATGGACATTCAAGCCTTTGTACAGCATCAGGAACGTGATCGCAAACCCTTTCTTGTTAATGATCCAGAAGTTGATGGACTGGTATGAATAATTAAATTAATTCATATTAATTTGAAGGTTTGAAATCCCTTTCTTGTATAATCACACTTTTTCACATTAGTTGTATCTTTCAAAGGACATTTTTATTTGTGAATTATTTTCCAATCAAAAATAAAAATAATGTAACCTGTATTTTGTAATGTGCCCAGACACAGGTGTGTGGCTCATAAATTAATATTTTTCTGCAGATGATCAAAGCAATTCAGGTTCTGCGCATTCACTTACTGGAGCTTGAAAAAGTACAAGAATTATGCAAAGACTTTTGCAATCGTTACATCACTTGTCTCAAAGGAAAGATGCAAAGTGAGAACTTACTTCGCTCAGATTATGCTACATATGAGACCAATAATAACAGCAGCAGTAACAGCCACTCCAGCAACAGCAATAGTCCTGCAGGGAATACGAATTATCCTACCTCTCCTCACTCCATGCAGGTGAGTGTAAAGGAAAGTTCTTTTGTTCTTATGTTTTCTAATAAGTGAAATTGAGGTCATCTCCATCTAGTAATCAAATGGTTCTGGTGAAGAGTGGGCTGTGGATCTAAATATTCTATAAGCCTTGAACATATTTAGCACATTTCTTGCAACATTGAATGATCAAGCTCCCATGCTGAAATGTGTAAGAAAAGTTTGCTGCACAATATTTGGCTGCAATATTACTTCCCAGGGTAACTAGGCTGTAGCGTGGAATGCACGTAACTAAACAGTGGTATGTTTGATCAAATTTTTATTTATTAATTAAAATTTTCTCAAGAAACATTGATTTAATTATGTGGTGCTCTGATCATGAAATGATGAGTGAAAACTGAAATGGTCGTAACATGAATTACTTCAGCTTTCTTTATTGTATAATGGAAAGAAAAAAGAAAAAAAAAATAGAGTATGGACTTTCTCGTCTTTGGCCAATAAGTTGGGCACTGGAAATTCATTATGTAATTTAATCAAAGATTTGAGCTACACTGATTTCATCGGTATTTGGGAAAGAGTGTCTCTGGTTCCTGAAAGAAATTAATGAGTTAGTTTTGTAATGAATAGAAAGTGATTTTAGTTTGGTGATTTAAATAATTTTCACACAGTGGTCATAAATATTTATAAATTGGTATAAGTTATTTGTAAATTTCTATTTAAATTTCATACAGTCTGGTAAAAATGTTATCTATCTTGTTTCAATATAATTTTATTTTTCTCCAATTTATTGTTCATGTAATTTAATCATTTCAAATTTTTGGCTCCTGTAATGGAAAAAGTTCTGAAAAGTTTTCTAAAAACATCTAGGTGATAAAGGTAATTTGATAGAAATATTTGTTTGTAATTTTTCAAATATTGTTGAGACGATATAAAATAATTCCTGACACACTCAAAGTAAACAAAGAAAATAAAGCTGAGGTGTGAAGGTTGAACTACGTGTTTGACAGGTGGTGTCCTCTGCAGGCGGTGTTCCAAATCAGCACAGTGGGCAGCAGCTCACTGCCGGAGGGGGGCCTGTGCTAATGGGGCAAGGCGGTGGCAGCACGGGCACACCAGTCACAGCAGCGCAACAGCAAATTGCCTACCAAATGCTGCAGACTCCTCAGGGGCTGGTGGCGGCACCTGTGCATCTGCCTCCTACTCAGCAGCCACCTGTGTCACCTGGTGTTGTGCATGGCAGCACTCCTCTGTCACAGATTGGTGCTAATCCCTGCCCTCCCCCTTCTGACAACAGCCTTCTACAAAGTAAGTTACATACTTTGTCCATTGATTAGTGACTACCTTCCCTTACTTTTATAGCTCTCTCACTTTTATAGTTTTTAGGAATTGAAAGGAGGATTTGCATTGTATGTTAAAATTGTATATCATCTTATTATAGTATTATTTATATTCTCTGATTTATTTGTTTTTGTGATAGTTGCAAAAAATTTCAAATTTTGCGAAAGATTTAAAATTTTATGTTTTTGTTTTGTTTTGTTTTGTTTATGTTTGGTTTTGTTTAATTGACAATTTTTACTACTGCCTATTCTTGAACCCAATGTGATCTAAATTACGAAATTGTTTAGGAATATAATCAAAAATGTAAAAACTTGGTGGAAAAGTCTTAACGTATTGGAATCTTTATCATCAAGAAATGTAATTCTCTGCGGTCTGTTTCATAATGAAAATGGATGAAATTGATGAAAAATGTCAGTTACAACAACTTTGATCTGCATCCTCAAGGCAATTTAATTAATTTAACCTTTAACTTCTATTACACTTAACTTTGGAACGTGTGGAATCTATTACACTTACCTTTGAGTTGAGTCATATGGACCCAACTATTCTGATTCAACAAAATTGGGCTCTTTGTATGGTTTTTAGAAGGAATATGTTTTTAGTAGTACATAGAATGTGGAAATATACATATAAATAAAGATAATCAGTTTAACCAAATAAAAGAAGATAGATTATTGACACTCCCTTGTTCTTCTGCCTAAACTGTAATTACTACATAGATGATACCAAGTGCCCTCAGCTGATTGCCTGTTTCATTCAATTGTTAAAAAAGTTACAATTTCTGGCTTCTGCCTGAGGGCCTTTACATTTGTCAATCTTCTTGTCCTTGTGAATAGAAGAAATAACTACTGATTGTGTTATGGCTGGTTCATAAAATTTCATTGTTACCTCCTTTCCAAAGCCAGAGGGGCTTTAATTTACCTCTCTTTGTTTATTTAGCCAGAATCTTGCACATCTGCCTCATGGAAATACACTTGTACACTAAGCATTGGGTCAGAAAGGACATTTCAATGAAAAGGATATTTCATTAGCATTTTTCATTACAAGCTCTGAATAGGAATGTTATCAGAAGAGATTACATGGAGCCCGCATTGTCGGTAGCTCGACATGTTCTCAGAAATTGGAAAAAGAAAATGCCATCGGGTCATATTGACCCAATGCCAGTAGTTAAGGGTTAAGATTTTTTTTTTTTTTTTTAATGTATTCAATTCATGTGAATTATGAAGATGTTTGTTGTAACTTTGTAAATAATACACAGTAAAGCCTTGGATTATTGGGATAAACTGTTCTAGAAGGTGCTTGTAATCCTAAACACTCCTATATCCAAGTGAACTTTCCCATAAGAAATAATTGAAATGCAGATGATTCATACACAGCACAAAACTATGTATTCATATCAAATGATTAATACAAACAACTCTAGGCTTTGTACATAATATGGGGAGAGTGGGAGAGAATAGATGAGAAGGGTTTATTGTTTGGAAGAAATGGAATCACTATCATCTCTTGTCTCACTAGAGTATTTTCATGACACTTCAACTCAACACCTATCTAGTGACTGGTTTTCTTTTCCTAGTCATCCTAAGACAAGATGTCCTCGATTATCTCCTGTTGTTCATGTTGCAGATCCTTCAGTTCATTGATGGTCAGTTCCTGCTCACATCCCTCTACCAGTTCCTTAATATCAGCTCATTCATCTTCAGTCCCAAAGTTTTCCATAAGAACATAATGTCGTTGATAATGGTGTCTCTTCTGTACGAGCAGCTCCCTCAATGTCATTTTCAAGAAGTCAAGCCACAGTTTTCTCCGAGCACAAGTGAGAGTTCTCTTGGTATCTCCAGCTTGTGCTTTATCAATGATCTTCAGGCAGTTCTGGATATAATGATCATTTTTCTACAAGTCCCAGAATGTAAAATTTGTTCCTTCTGTCACTTCGAGAATTGTTGAAATAGAAATTTGCAATAAAGCTTCTTAAAGTTCAAAATGACCTGCAGATCCAATGGCTGGCGAGGGGGAATGCTGTTTGGAGGAAGAAAGTTAACCTTAATGACCTTAATTCCTCCAGAAAGTTGTTCTCACACCATGGAGGATGAGCAGGAGCTTCATCTAAAATGAGTAAAACTTCAAGTGGCATATTGTTTTTGACAAGATATTTATTCTCTGTGACACAGACTTCATTAATCCACTGAATGGACAACATAAGCGTGACTAAGGCCTCACTGTTGGACCTCCACATAAGGTTTTAACCGAGTCTTCTGCACCTTGCAGAGTAGCATTGGAAACTTACGGAGTATTGAAACAATAGGCAAGTAGGGTCTTGACTTTGAAATCCCTTGTTCCATTAGCTCAGATCAATAGAATGAGACTGTCTCATAGACTTGTGACCACACATTTCATAATTTTCCTCAGTGATGTTGTACCATATGATTGCATGCCTCACTTATTACTTTTCTTCTCCATAGAATGTCACATGCAGTTTTTATTGTTTTTGAAGTTAAATAAGTAAATAGTAATGGTAGAATTTAGCCCTTTAAATTTTAAAAAATTAGGTTTTGAAAACAAGGCTACAGCGTTTTGTAGCATTATAAAAATTAGCATTTGTTGTTAATTATTAATAAGGAAGGACTCTTTGAGATAAAAAAAAAAAATAAAAAAAAAAAAAAAAAAAGCATTTTGATGCTTTTCAGATATTCCCATTAAAATTGGGAAAGAAAGGAAACTAAAATTGATATTTCACCATCTGTTTGTCAGCAACAAACAACTACAAAATCAGCATCTGCGAACAAATACAAATGCACAAGAAGTAATGCATACGTCATGGGCGTAGGGCCTTCCTCTTCTTCCTGTGACCCTTTTCAGCAAACCTGGGTAGCTGAGACCCCTTAAAATTGCCATAATGGTTTAGGATCAGTTGTATTTATCATTTTCTGTTTTGTCAGTTAAATCTTCATTATTTAATTAACACTGCCACTCTCAAATTAAAGGTTTTCAAACATCGTTTGTTGTTGTTGTTGTTGTTGTCGTTGTTGTTGTCGTCGTTGTTATTGTCATGTCCCTAATTAGACACTGAACGCGAAGGAAACCATAAAATGCAATTTAGTAATTATTTCTCAGATTCACAACAATTTCGCACTTTGTAAGTGATTTCACATTTTGCAATAAATTTCACATTTTATCGCAGTTTTAAAACCTTCAGAAATGTATTGCACCTAACGTGAAACATAAGTACTAATATTTCCAGCGTTTGGTAACATTTCCCATTTTAACAATTGTTAAAATTTATCATCTCTGTAAATAAAATATAAAAATATTAATTTTTCTACTTCTTCTAGAACTTGTTGCTTTGATACTCTAGTGACTCCTTTTGCTGCATCTAGCATGTTTGTTTCTTTATTTCATTTCTTCTTTAATATTGTGCAAATAATTGGCTTACAATAGACTTCTTATGAAATCTCTTCTTATCGACCTCTTGAATACAAAGTTTGTTCTTCTCCATCATTTCTTTTTTGACATGATCTGTAATCATTTCTTTCTCATTGCAGTCTTCACTTTAAGCTCTCTTTGCAGGGCCTATTATTGCTGAAGGCCTACAGTTACAAAATGAATGTCTGTGAATAGTATACTGCTCAGTCGTATGTGTGTTGTATGTAGGAGCAAGGCCCGCCAACTAAAACTTGTATGCTTAAGGAAATCGCTGCACACACAATTCTACTGTGAGGGAAGAGCAAAGGGAAAAGAAGCTTAGTTGTGAACATGTGGACACTCAAAAATTCAACTGGTATTGTAGGTAGTTTAAATTCCTGCAGAATTTTTGCTCATATTGTAAAACACTTGCATACCAAGTTGCTGACTATCCAAGGTAGTTCTGTACAATTATTTTTAATTTACCTTTCAATAAAGACATTTGAAATAATTAAAAATAATTATTTTAAAAATATAAGTAATCAGATTTCCTTCGACTCCATTTTCTGGCATTACCCTGAATAACAAGAAGTCATCCCTTCTCTCAAAAAAATTGTGTAATATTACTCTTACATTTTGTAGGTCAACTGTCACCTGCTCCCACAACACCTGGTTCCATTGACGATGATGACGACTTCCTTAACAGCAAGAAAAAGCAAAAAAGAGGAGTATTGCCAAAGCATGCAACCAGTGTTATGCGCTCTTGGCTCTTCCAGCACTTAGTGGTGAGTGTTGAGAAATGGTGCACACTGTTATGATTTATTGGCTTTATTTTTGATTAAGTAAATTAAATTTTAAGAAGCTGTCATCAACATTAGATAATAATTCTGGTTATCTCTTTGAATGCATCTTTTCCTTTTCGCGTAGAACAGGTGTTAATATTTCTATAATATAAGAAATTAAATTTCTTGAATCCTGATTTTTGGAAATTGAATATAATGAAATGATATTTCAAGTATGTATTAGTTGTAAATATATTACAAATTATTTATTTATCATCCATGCTTTTATAGGTGGCAGTCATTTGCAGCTAAATCAAAAGATTATTAGTAAACAATGCTTCTTCGATAACATTACTTTCAATGAAAAATGAACTTCCTTACAAAATTGCTGCGATAATTGAATTTTTTACTTCAAATTAGAAAGCAATTTTAAAATGCTTATAACTAGTAGTTAAATTTAACTTGTGGTGCTAAAATACAGCACAGACTTTCTTGTACTATTTAGTTTCTATTACTAGTTATTCTTTGGAGTGGGTTTTCGATTTTGCCCATCCTCATCCAGCTGCATCTAAAAGACCTAACACAGCCTCGCACAGAACCTACCTCTCCTCTGGGATCATTCCCATTGAATAGCATCTGTGCACACCCCGAAGAGTTCTATCTCTGTCCTGTACCTTTACATATTTGTCTATAGTATCCCTTGCTCGGCAGTTGCCCCTCAGGCCAAGAGATTATGGAAGAATTATGGTAGAGAAATAATAAATGAGGGACTCGAAATGCCCCCCCCCCCCCACCCCCCCACCCCCCACACACAACCAACAACACACACACACACCAAACACACACACACACACCAACACACACACACACACACACCAAACACACAACACCACACCAACACACACACACACACCAACACACACCACACCCAACACACACCACACAAACACACACACACACACACCAAGCACACACACACCCAACACACACACACCACCAACACACACACACACACACACCAACACACACACACACACCAACACACCACACAACACCACACACACACACACACCAACCACACATCACACACCAACAACACACACACACCAACACACACCACACACACACACACCAACAACACACAACCAAACACACACACACACACACACCCAAACACACACACACACACCACACACCACACACACACACCACACCACAACACACACCAAAACACACACACAACACACCACCACACACACACACACACACCAACACACACACACACACGACACACACAGACACACACAGACACACACAGACACACACAGACACACACAGACACACACAGACACACAAACTCAAAACTTTTATGCCTTATACTGGCTTCAAACCCATAGCCTTAGTGTTCACATACTTGGGCTCATTTAAGATGGAAATAAGGCAGTAGTTTGTCCCATCAGATTTATGGCCTTTTTTTTTTAACAGACTCTCATTTATCTTGCTCTTCTTCCAAACCTCAGGAAAAGACCCACATCTGAGGGATTGATTAAATAGTAAGAATAATGACCTAGCTATGGCATATTTGCAGTGTGACGAAAACAGATTAGGTATGAGATTGGAACCCTGGACTTGGATGAATTTCCTTATATTTACCAAACTTCTCAAAGATATCACATAATCATAATGGAAGATTGTCAATGAAAGGGTCCTCGACAACTGAAACTGGAGAAAATGCCAGAAGGGATGATGTGTTTTTGGAAAATTGATTACTGAAGTATTGTGCAAAAATTGATACAATACTGCTCAATTCTGTACACTGAATATCCCGATAGTGCATATTATGTGGGATATGGTTGTGATTTGTGGTGTAACATAAATGATTTCAGAAAACCTTGATTTTGGAATAAACGGATTCTTTAACTGAAGAAATATAATTATCATAGGAAAGCTTTTGAACGTAGTTCAGTTTGGTTCTGATGGCTGAAACAAATCATAAGAGTCAGTCGATTTTAATGACTGATTAGTAGAAGTCTTTATGTAACCTTTTCTTTTCTGAGAGGAGATGGATCAGTTCCATGGAATACCAGGGTGGGTAAGAACTACCAAAAATCAGCCTCGCTAGAACATAGCAGTCGATTAGTGAATAGAGAATATTATAAATGTGGCCCACATTTGTATTAATATTCATTTTTCTAAGACAGGAATACCAATCAGTCAGATTAAGTTAGGAAAAAAATAGTTATATAATTGGCATTTTTAAAATCATAAACATAAGTATGATTCTAATCACAGTTGAGTGGATGTAATAATGACATTGAAAAAGTGAGCACGGGGTGGAAAAGATCACATTTTATAAGGTCATCAATACACCACTGTACATCAAGAGTATCAAAGATTCAGAAGTTGAGATCAAGCTACAAGTTTTTATGATCAACAATACCATTATGTTGATGCAGGTTCAATAGAGCCTTTAAAAATGTATTAATACTTATTTAAAACGGCAAAGATAAAAAATGGGATCATTTCTGGAGTATATTTATTGTGAAACTAAAACAAGCAAACTTTGTTATTAAATCTACCTGAATGTGTATTTTATTGTCGAGTTTATTTAACTTTCAAACAAGTTTCAAAGGAATTGCTGTTCTATCCATACAATTTTTCTTTTGACATCAAACAAGCAGGCACAAGCCTTCCTCTTTGAACTCGTGGCCACGATAGTCATCAGCACTCCTCCTCTAGTGGCATAAGAGGAGAGGGGATTAAGCTTAGGTACTTCCCAACAGTTTATCTGCTTGAAATCCCCAGCCACTATCCGGCTGGCTTATAGTTGCTAGTGTGATTTACTCTCCCTGCTTTGGGTTGCGTTTTAAACTCCCTAGTATTCATCAAAATTAACTGTTTCACTTACCAAGCGTGGCACACGTGTACCCCATCTCACTTTTTACTTGTGCAAGTTTCGCATATTTTGTGATATCAAAATTTCGTTACATTCGCCGAAATACATCTGCTGACAATTATGTCTTAAAGAAAGTAGTGATAGTTTTAAGGTGTATTATGTTTTTTACTTAAAAACAAGCACGGATACATTTGTACCCCGCTTTGTATTCTGTGTGAGCAATTTTTATTCTTATTATTTATTAGAAACAGCGATAGAAAAAGTAGAACAAGGTGCAGTAAGTGTGTCATTTATTTCTAATGAACATTCAGATACAAAAACAATAAAAATATGAATCATTTGCCTAAAACAGGGGAAAACTTGCAAGAAGTATTTTGATGAAGTGTATTGGTGTAAGAGAAGAGAAAAGTAGGAATGAATTTACTTTATTCTATTAAATTTGTCTCTCATTAAACTGCTCAAAATAATCTAAATGTTGATATTTTAGTTATTTATTTCATATTTCAAAGAAATCTTGCATAATATTTGAGTGGGGTACACGTGTACCTCACTTGAAAGTCGGTGTTACATGTAGAACTCGGTATGTAAGGGGTTAATAACACAAAGGTTTATAACAACTTCATTTATATTAGCAAACAAATTCATTTTGAAATTTTCTTGATTAAAAAATGGGATATATTTTGTAAACTGAAAATGTACATTCCACATTCATGCTAGCGTTAGGTTCAAATTTAAAACTGTTCAAAATAAATGATAATAGAGTAAGATTTCAGTGGGTACTCTTGCTGTTAAATAGGAAAAAGGACCATGTTTAAAGTCTTCATATTACTTCTCAATTCTGCAGTCATCTCATTTGCTTTCATTTGCAACGCAGGGTAAAGTATTAAAGGGAGTAAAAGGAGAAAAAGAAATTGATTCAAAATAAGTCATAATCTGAGTAACTTGGTATTCTCTTCTAATAGATTTTCACCAATGGAAAACAAGCCAAATGAAGAAAATAATATTATCCTTGAAATGTGCATTTTAAGCACTACACCTTAAATATGCAAAATAAAATATCAAAATAAGTGACTCCAATTCATTTAGAAAACTGAACTACTGACATTAACTAAGTAGAAGAGATGTGCAATTGCTTAAAAATGTGAACCCTAGTTGAGAGAGAATTTTATTTTTTATTCTTGAGCAGTGAGCATGGAAACCTATTTGGAAAATATTTTGTGTGGTGTGATTCATCTGTGATTTTCAGTGAAGTTTGGACCTGCTAAATTGATAGGCACTTTCTCTGTTAGAAAATATATTGATACTAGAATTTCTAAAATCTTGCAGGTGATGCTGTTCTGTAGTTATTTAGTAACGTTTTAGTTTTATACCTATTAGTAGTTTGTTTGCTTTGATGGGTCTCTTCCCGCTCTTTTAAAATTTTGGGCAATCTTTTTTCTTGACAATTGGATCCTTCTTTATTATTAAAACTTTTTTAACAATTTTGAAACAATTGACCACCTTCATTGCATGCAAGATATGTCTATTGTCACAGAACTTTAAGAAAGGGTTTTGCACTTTACTTCCAACCCCATGCCCAACTAATGATGGAAAAGAACATTACTAATGAATGATTTCTCTATTCTAATTCAAATATGATCTCTTCAGCATTTGGCTATGTTTTTTTGTTCACTTTTATAATTTTTTTATGAAACTGATATTGTTATCTGCCATTGATTTTCTTTCTTATATTTCAAATTTTCCCTCTTCTGTTATTTTCAAGACAATCGTACTGAATTGAATCCAGAGTGTTTTGCTTTGAAAGATTATCTTTAGCTTCAATTCTGAGCTCTTCCAAAAATTTTACAATTGGCTTTATCTTATATTTGTTCTTCCTTTTATTTTTGTTTGCGCGTCAGCCCTTATTTTTTCAAAGCATTTTTATGGTCCCTGTAGTTTTTGAAGTGTGTGTTGACACTCCATGAATAAATTGGCAAGAACTCTTGATTTTCAGTTGCAAACTTCTTATTTCTCTAAAGTGTATGTCACTACATTTTGCTCAGAATTTATTTTTGCATTATCACTGGTCTAAATATTATTAGAAAGAAGTTTGTGGACTTGAATTGATCCATTTTTTTCATAACATTTATTATTAGTATTTTGGTTGTGGTATAAAAAATGTAAGTTGTAAATCTAAATATTATTAATCCTATAATGGCTGCAATTCAAAGTATGATTTTATGTAATGCATTGAAGTTGAGAACCATACACGTTTTGATTTGTCTATGAAGAGAAAATAAGAGGTATCGTATTTGACAAAAATTTGAAGTTTAAGATAGACCAGAGAAAGTTAATGTAGACAAGTTGATGTTCCTAATTGCATGCCAGATAAAACAATCTATTATCACATGACTTCTAAACAGTAATTTTCACTTTACTTCCAGCACCCATACCCAACAGAAGATGAAAAACGACAGATTGCTGCCCAGACAAACCTCACATTGCTACAAGTTAATAATTGGTTTATAAATGCCAGGCGACGTATACTACAGCCAATGCTTGATGCCAGTAATCCTAGTGGAACTGATGGCCAAGCTAGTGCTGGAAATGGACTTGGTAAAAACTCGTCCACTAAAAAGAACAAAGGGTCAGGCAACGGTAGTAGCAAACCAGCTGCTCAACGTTTTTGGCCAGAAAATATAGCATCGTTGCAACCACAGCTTGGTCTAGGAGCAGAGTCCAATGGAGCTTCTCATACAGGTTTGTTAGTTGTTACACTTTGCAGTATAACTCTTGCTTGAACAAGGGACTCAATTGTACAATGCTTCTTTGGTTTTTGTTACAATTTGCAGTAAAAATAGTTTTGTGTCCTACAATATTGTACAGTACTTCCATTGGTAATTAATTCTGAAAATATAGTGTAATGATTTATAAATAATTTTTCATTCTCCTAGTCTTGGGTCAAAAATGTAACCTCAAAGGCTGAAAATCGCGTAATGTATTTTTGTGCCTGGATGGTACAAACTTTCATTAGTTCAGATAGGGAGGATATCAAGTTCATACAATCAGATGTTCTGATGTTCAATGGAAGTAGTTGCCGAGTCTTACAAAAGTTTATAAATAGGAAGAAGGTTGTAAGCTCCAAAATTTCCTGAAATATGCAGTTCAAAAAAATTACACTTGTGATCACTTCGGATGCATCTGTACACACCCAGATTTATGCAGATTTGCAACACACTTTATTCTGAGAATATTCCTCTAAATAAACAAAACAATGGCTTACTTAAAAAAAAAAAGGGAAAAAAAAAAGACTGCAAGTTTTTCAGTGATGCAAATAAGTTTGCAATAACTCAGTAGCAAAAAAGCCTGGTTTTCAAGGAGAGCTCAAGAAAAGTTCAGTTCTTCCCATTCATCATGTACAGATTTTAGTGTTCTTTAAATAAATCTAAAGTAACATAGGTAGCAGTACCTGGGAGCTGGTCCAAAAGTGAATCATGCCAGGGTAAAAATATTCAGTTTGTTTTTTCTCATTTACACTTTTTCCTTGCAGTCTCCTAAAAAAAAACCTATAAGTGAAGTTTTACTGTAGTTCTCAACCTTCTAGAGCATGGGTTCCACCCTGCCTGTTAGACATTTGTTTAAAGTCACACCTCTCCCATAATATTATATTTAAGACGAAATGAAACATTGTCATTTAGGTTACAATGATTAGTTTTAAAAATGCTTTGTGTAGTTTTATTAAACTACTTTTTTATTTTCTTGAATCATAATTAAAATGTGAGAGCTGACACTGTCCTTCACAAGTTTTTGTATATTGGACGTTAGTGGACCAGCCTTGTTCAATATTTTTATTTGAAATACACAATTATAGAAAATTCAGATTCATTTGGATATTTGTTGAAAACTGCACCAACAGCCTTGCAGTTTAGTCCAGCGTCTTCTGGATTCACAATCTAATTGCTCAATCAAATCACTTCAAGTTTCAGGTTTGTGAATATAGCTGTAGAGCAGTCTAGTATTTCAGCCTGTTGTAATGAAAGTAGATAAAATTATTTTCTTACAAAAGTTGGGAGTACAGTTCCCTGGTGCTTTCTTGTCCCAACAGTTACTGAAGTCAGTACATTTCATTCATTAAAAACCCTCTCCTAAAATTAGTTTCCAGTTGCCAAGTTAAAGGTCTTAAATATTAATTTACAATTCTTTAATGGTACGTACAGTAGCAAGCATTGATTTATACAGAATATGCCCTAAAAGGTATCTCAGTGTGCTGTTACAACAGGAAAATGACTGAATGTGCCCAAATATGCACTGTTATTGACACTATATAAATAACTTAGTTTAAATATTCCCAATTCCCCCAAGCTATTTGGATTTTAAGTCTTATTTCAACAATTAACAGTAAATGCAGTAGTGTTCAGGTTTTTAATTAGTACTTGTTTAGAGCACTGTTATTTATTTTCTTGATTTTTGTTGGTGAGATTTTACGACCAATGAACGCCCTGCAACAAGGCGTTTGTCAGCCCAGCTAGTGCCCTTACACGTTCTTGTTGTGTACTAACCAGCGCTCCGCTCATTCCGCGAGTAATGTCCGTTGGACACAGTTGTAAGCAGTTGTATCTCCAACCTGAGGATAATAAACCTTGTATTGTAATAGTTGTGTCATGATTACCCACCTGCCTCTGGCAATTTTTGTAAATTAATTTTCCTGAGTCCATAAAAAGTTAAACCTGTATGGAGAAAGTTTTAGTACAACCATTAGATAAATTACATTTGCGAGGTGCATTAATAGACAAGTAAGATAAGGTGTGGGTTGTTGTTGATGTTTTTCCTCTCTACAGTTGACAAAGTTCTTTTCATTTTCTTTAATTATTGCCAATCATATAAATTAAACAGTATTTCATTTATTAAAACTTATTCCTTTAGATGTGTCAATCGGATAGTGATATTCATTAAGGAATGTACTTTTGACATACTCAATGCTTAGTGTATAGAAGCCAAAGCATGTAAAATTCATTGTGAAAATTGAAACAAAAGGTACGTTATAAGAAGTATGTTCTTGGGACTAAAAAACTGTATGTATGACATTTGCAGACTCGTCACTTATCAGTTCAGGTGCTCTGAGTAGTGAAGAGAGTGAAGGAAGCAGCCAGGATGAAGAGGATGAGGATTATGAGGATGATGAGGAAGGAGAAGCGCACCCTGGTGCACATACCGGTCGAGATGCTCCCACCAGCTTGAAACTGGAGTGCAGTTCGGACTCGGAGCGATCACAACAATGACCCTACGATTCGGACGCCCTTGACTGCAGTGCTCACTCTGCCTCTGGGTAGCATAGCTCCCAGGCTGCCAGCAACTTGGGTGTATGTGTCGGTGCGAGTGCTGGCTTGTGTCTGAAGACTACAGCAGGCTTTGCAGGCCAGCGTTTGCAATATTTGTAAATTCGGAGACCTTATCATGTTTGCTATATTCCCCCGAAACTGTGGACAAGATACAGAATGTGGAAACTATGGGGACAAAGATGTTAGAAGGGAATTGGTCCATTCATAAAAATTTGGCAACTAAACCTCCAGTATCCTTTTCAATACACCATGTACAATTGTGGTATCCTTGTACCCCAATCAACTACTTGGGAAATCATTTTTATTTTCCTTTTTTTGGAAATCATTTCCTGGTTTGGAGCTGAATTGAAATACATTTTTATGTTAATTTAGTAAAATTTATCATGAAATATTAAATGTCCTAGTTGCACAATTTATTGAAAAAAACATAAAATGTAAGTGAATATTTAAATCTATAAGAAAATTATTAATTTTGGCATGGTGGAAGAAACAGGTGGAATAAGCATTAGTTCAGCTTTCTTGATTAAATAAAATTGGATTTCTTTAATTTTCTCTTAAATGGTTGCATAAATTCTGAGAATCATTTAATTTTAAAAATGTGAGAAGGCTTCATTTAATATGCATTTTGTATAGAATTGTGTAATGTTGGTAATAGATGGATGATAAAAGAGAATTTAAGGAGCAAGTTGTCAATTCAAGATGTAGAAGTTATACATCTTTGGGAATTGATGTTTGTGTTAATGTTTTTCCTCTTGTCACTGCCGTTTTGGTTCATTTATTACACAACGCAGTGGTGCTCAAAAAATGTTTTGCTATATTGTACAGTTGTTATTTATTATATTAATGAGTCAGGAAAAGTAAATTTCCCTTGTATGGTTCGTGTAAAAGTGCTCTCTAATTTTGATGAAAATTTAATTTGTTTAGTGAAGTTTTTGTGATACACCAAATTGAAAGCTGACTTGTGCATATTTAACAAGTATTCATTTTTGAATATTTTTCTATATAGAGCATATACAGTGTTATTATTTAGAAATTAATTTTTTATTGTTTTGACAATTTATTGTGGAAAAATAATTCTCCACTATCGTATGAAAGGTGTCACATTCCATTGTACATGTGTGATACAAATATGCATTCCAAACAAGCACTGCATCAGTCCCAATTTTGTAGTTCTTGGCCTATGCTAGTGTGACATAGTATATAAATGTGCATTGCAAATGCAAATTGTCTACTGATTTTTTTCAGCCTAATTCTGGTTTCAATTTGGATACAAGAATGAGTCCATAAACATTTATTATTATAATTACTGTGTAATTTTGATGATGAATTTTCTTGTACATACTGTAAAGTAGATGAATAATTTAAATTAGTGAACTTGGAAGGTTAAAAACTAACCTGTTATGCCAAAATGCGGCTGACCAGAGGTGCAGCCGTGGTCTGAGTATACGTAAGCATCTGCCAGCCTGTCCCCAAGGGCTCTCTATTATAAAAATTGCTTCTAAATAAGAATATGAAATTGCCTTCCGAGATGAATTTCCTTTTAGTAACAGATGTGGGCTTTTCTTATTTCTTGCCAAGTAAAATTTGTATTATTGACTGTAATTTTTTAACCTACATGTTCAACACATTTCCACGTGTGTATATGTATATGTATCATATATTTCTTCTAAAATGTTAGTGCTGAAAAATTTTTTAATCGTAAATGTTAAATTTGGTAATTTTTCATATTGGTCAGTGTGCAGTTTTAAATATGAAATCTCTATTTCCCAAGATTTACATATGCAAATTTACTGTTAATTTTTTCAACAATGTCAACAATTGACAGCTATACGGTGATTGTATACGATTTTATCATTGCTCATACAAAAGCATTTTAGAATGCATAAATGTTTTTACTGAGAGTTCTCTTATGATGTCCACATGGAATGATGGAATGCAGAGGTATAAGACATTGACTGAATTATCTTTAAGGTTTGATCTGAAAACAGCCCTGGGGACTGGCACTGCACATCTAAACACTAGTTCCTGTCAATCTAATATTAAAAATACCAAGTATACGTTTCAGTCTGGAACTGTGTTACAATTTCTAAATATAATAGTTCGAAAGATGTACATTTTAAAACGATTCATATTTTATGTATAATATTTCACTACTGTACAGTTTTCCCCTTCTGTCTTGTAAAATGATTTTTCTAACAAATGTAATTAGGTGAACTGTTTTCAAATTGCAAATCTCATTCTTCTTGACAGTCAACAAGATTTACAGTTGATCTATATTAGGTGTGTTTCTGTGTTTCTACTGTAACCACTTTTACTATTTAAGACGGTAAATAGTAAGTACGTTTTACAATTGTTAAACCGCCCATGTTGCTCACAATAAGTACTGAGTAAGGTAATGGTTGTCTTTGGAAGTAGTAATATTTCCCCTTCAATGTTTCTAGCTCACTGTGCTCTGGTGCCCTTCTTTATTTTCCATTTAAATTAAATTTGAATACTCTTTGAGGCATTACCATAAATTAAGTAGTTGGAACAAGAGAGAAATATTTTTGCAGTTCATTTCATTTTTTGGGCTGTTTTAAACATGTGCTGTTCCAAGAGCAATATTTTTCATCCTTTTAGAATTTGAAAATTTATTTTATTGTATGATGCAGTACTCAACATAAGCAGCATTTCATTCATTAATTCTCATTTGTATGTTGGCAGAAAAAAAGAGTGGTTCAAGTGTGAGTTAGCAAGAAAGTAGCATAGGTGAAAGAAAATATCAAAAATCTAATTGAAGAGCAATTCAAAAGTAACCTCATAAGAGTAAATTTTAATCTTCATTAGAAAAATTACTGAGAAGTTGACTATTGAACAGAAATTTCATTGTGCAAAAATACGAATGTAAATATCTGAACTTTCCCCAAATGGACCACTCTGGAATACTCTTTTTACTTCCAGATATAATTTGATAGGGTTAATTGTCTTAATTTTCCAAAGAAGATTTGGACATCCGATATTAATCTGAATTTGTTACCATTGAGGTATTATTTTGATCCAAAAAGCTGATAGCATTGAAAATTGAATGAAATGTAGTTATCTTGTTGCTTTATAATTTCAATTTTGAAAATGAAGCAAGGAAATAGCATTTTATAGAATTCATTGTGTAGGGAACATTAAGAAATGATCCTGCTGAATATGTATCTCTTAGGCTGTTAGAAGCTTTACAGTTTATGCCTCCTGTTCCCCCATTAAACAAGGGCTTGAAAAGTTCATAACTGAATGTGCAAATGTGAGTTGTCAGTTTTCATACTACCAAACCAAGGTAGTGTTACATATGTCATTCACTATCTTCGGTAATCATCTGAATTTAATATAATTTATTGCTTTGAACAAATTTTCCATGTAACTGTTTTAGTAGCACCTTGTGCCTTTGCGGATCAATTTGGAACAAATTTGTTTCTTTCCATAATATTTTATATTTGTTTCCTGTTTTAACAAGAAAGCTGCTTTGATAAATCATTAAAATGTTTACACTAAAAGTCTTGCCCAGGTCATTTAAACACAACTTTATTATGTTTCTTGTTTGGAAATTTACGTTGGCAGCTCAGCAAAAATTTTGTTGGCTAAGAGACACATTACAAACTCCTACGTTAATGTTAACGCCTCAGTAATGGTGCCAAATCAAATTTTTTCCAAGTTAAAAATGTGCCATTCTATGGCATTAATTATATGAATTTTTTAACCCTTCAATATGGAATGCCATCTTTAAATTATACCTTCCTTCCACCTGTATTTGCGGGCCTGTGTACCTAAATACTTCATGATTTTTCCTTTCTGGCCTGTAATGCCATGAGGAGGCAAAGGGGCTCCTTAGCAGTGCACCAAGTTGGGCTACTTGCTCCATTGGTGGCACAGACACCAGTATTTGAATGTTACTGCACCTAAACTGCTCGACATTGAATGGTTAAAAAAAATTCATTACATAAATTTGAATTCAGCTTGATTACAATTGCATGACTGTATTCAGAATTTTGAACAAATTGTGAAAAATTATTCTTGTTGGTCTTGGTTTTGGAAGATTTGTTCCAATTATTTAATTGCTGCTTTCTTAATCTCAAGTTTGTTGAGAATTTTAAGTGCCATGTCTCGCCCCAAATTGACACGTGACAATATATAGTATACGATTGAATTTGCAAATTAAAATAATTTTTACCTGAAAATGGAGGCACTTGTGCATTTGTGCTTTTGGTATATACTCTCCCCTTAGTGTAAATTTCTATAAAATTGTATGAATGTATCTTTGTACATTCTACACCTTTATAATGATGGCCTGATTATTATTTACTCATTAATGATCATGAGAAGTTGGTCTTGATTTTGTGCTTTGAGGCCCAGGTTTGATAGTGCTGTTATGAATAGAATTGCTGTGTATAGTAAAAATGAATTTGGGAATAGCAATGGAAAGATTTATCTCTTCAGTTGAGGAGGGGGGACGTAAACATTATTTATCGAACTGGAAATGCCCATTTGGAGCTGAGAGTTTAAACGTGGCTTGTTATTTTCACCTTGAATCATATAATCCTCCCTTTGTATATAGTGTGCTGTGCCCTATCTTCTTAATTCTGTCAATACTCTGTGTTCCTGCCGAAGCACCAGCTTTAGATCTGCTAGTGTAGTTTAACTTTTTGTGAAAAATAAAATACAAAGAAATTCTCCTACATAACTTACAACCTGTGGTGCTGTTGAAGTATACGTATATGCAATTAATTTAGTCTCTCTTTAGAGGAAGTTTACTCCTATATGTAGCATGTTCTCTTGGTTTATCTATCTGACTTGTCCGTTGATCTGTGCAAATAAAACCTATCTGGACACTACTGAGACTAAAGTCATAACTTGTTTTTAGCAAAGATGTTTTTTATTGTTATTGTTATTTTTGTAATTTGGCAATTCATAAATGATGGGATAGTACCAATTTGTATATTTCACTAAATTTTTAATTTTTTGTGAACAATTACAAATTGAAAGCATACTAGTATATTAATCCTCTTCTCCACATTATTGATAGTTAATTATTTTCACTTTTATTAATATATTTAGTGGGACACATTTACCCCTTAAATTTTATTTTTAAGATAGATTTTTGTTAAACATCTATATTGGACGGTTAATTGACTTATTTTTTTCCCTCCATATTTTAATGAGCGATTGGACAGAGACAGAGTACCCATTTCTTTTACAAATTTTCATTAAGTCTTAAGGTGGAAAACCTTTTCCTTTATTAAATACGAAACACTATGTAATACATTCAAGTGTCCCTTGTTGATATTACAATATATATTTACCTTGTGTTAAATCTGCCCTCATCTGTTCTAAATTTCTTTTTCATTATTTTTAGTACAAACTGTATATATTCAAGTTTTTAAGCTTTTATGTACCATCATGTATGTATTTGCCAGCATGAGTAATGCATTACTTATATAAATATATATATATATAATCAGTCTGTGATAAATGTAAGAAGATATTTACTTACAGTAAATGCATTCATCCTGTGAGATACAGAGGAACAATAATGTGCAAGGGAGGAACGGCAAATTTCTTAAAATAATTTCTCGCAATAATTAGAATTTATGACAATTATGTGCTTTATTGTGTAGATTGAAAGTAGTATATTCTTTAAAACAGCATGCCTTTTAAGAGATTGGTTTTATAAGTATTATAAAGAGATTCTTGAATTTTTCCAGACTAAAAAACAATGTTCAAAATTGCACTAATTAAGTCCATTTTTTTTCTTTTTGTCAACATTGTTCATTAGTTTCCATCAGTTTTTATTCTTTATTGAAAAAGTGACACTTGAGTCTGAAAACCTGATTGAAACAATTCATTGTTCCAATGTTTTTCAAGGTTCAAATGAGAGTTATGTTTGTAGCTACAGTATTGTAAATTTAAAAATAATTACCGAATTTATATGCATTATATACATCTGTATACCATAAGCCAATTGCTGTGAAATTACACCACAGCACTCCTTTGAGGACATGTTTTCACTTATTTTTAATAGTATTAGTGTATGATTTAGTCACTTTTTTTAAGTGTTGAATAATACAAGAAATGTTCATAAAGGTCTTGCATTAAGAAATTCATGCCATCAAGTTGTTCAAATTAATAAAAGTCTGCTTTGATGGGCACATGTGTTTGTTGTTGCTTTTTTTGGCAAACATCATTACCTAAATTGTACAAATAAACCTTTTTTATTCCCTTTTTAGGACAATTGCAGGCCTTTCAGCATCATTTTTTAGAATATTTTATCACTTTCCTTTCCTTTATCACTTTTTCTGCCAAAACACACGATTTTCTTCTTCAACTTGATTATTTCCTTCAGAAAAATGGAATTGATATAATTTTTTTTTATGTTGTAAATTGGAATCATATTTTTTTCTAAAACTAAGTAGAGACACTGAGGAGAAGAAAAAAGTAAACACACCTGGAAAAAACTAGTCGGCACAGTTTTCTAGTGTTTGGAAAGAAAAGTGAAGAAATACATAGGCTTACCAGCTTGTAGAGGGGGGTGAGGGAGTAAAGGACTGATGAACAACACCTTGAGTACATATCACATACTCCCTAGGGGAAATTATGGAAGGAATCTTGTGCACTCATTTGGTGTATTGGAAATGTCGCATTGTCAATAGAAGAATCCACAGCTGAATGTCAAGGGCACAATTTATTACTAATTTAAACCATTATTTGGTTGAATGCTTTCACCTTAATCAGTAAATCCATGGTAGGATTTACCATCCACTTAATCCATGGTAGGATCAGATAATGTACGAAAAGCGGAAATTGCTAGATTTGAACCCCTTATGTAAGAAAATTTAATTATATTATGCATTTTTAGCTTTATACTTAATACTAATAATATATATTGAGTCACATATACAATTACCATTGTGTATGAAGAGTCAATATGTTTGGTGGAGAGAGTGAAGTTACATTACTATTCAGGAGCAAAACAACGGGTCATCTCAGCATTTGCTCAAGGGATCAGGCAAACTGAACAAAACCAGATTGAGATGGGGTCATTGGCCTAGGGATTATATTACAATACTTGCTACAGATAGGTTAGGATATTATACAGTAGGTATTTAGTTTTAGTAGCAGATAATTTAACATTTCAAAATGTTATTGTCATTTTAATGCCACTGCTTATAATAATAATATTAAAACAATACACAATATCAATTCTGTTAGCAACAACATAAAATTTAACAATATTAGTACATTCTGTTATAACTTGAAATGATGAGAAGGAGGCTGGTTTTGACCCCCCCAAAGAAAAACAATTATTTTTTTGCCTCAGGCATGCTCCTCCTACGTCACAGGATGCGATATGTCAGTTCTTTTTTCTTTGCTTCAGCTCTAAACAGTTAACATGAAACAGAAAGTCAAATGGGATAAGAAATTCTTATTTAATTATATTTTTTAAAGGAAATGTTGTGATTTGAATATTCCATAACACTTTGGTAACTTTTCCTAACTCACTTTTTGACTATTTTTAACCTTGTCCAACATTGAGAAGCATGTAATAAATACTTTTCGCCCTCGTAGAAATTGAACGGCTAATAGGAAGAACTCGAATTAGAATCCCCTGCTAACGCACGCTCGGGCAAGAACGCCGGGCACAAAAAAAATCACAATTACTCAAAAAAATTCATATCTAACATTTGACTATGTATATCATTGCATTCGTCTTTTTTACACTCGTTATGCTAGAATAAAAAATACGTGGCGCAAAATACCCTGCGCGAGGAGTAAGGTCAAAATAATGCGGCGCTCAACGATGGGGTCCGACCAGGCCAGGCGCGAGGTAAAAGAACTGTGTTCAAGAATTCTTTCGAAATACGTTATGGGCGACGGTCACTAGAACTATTGTATGAGTAGTGATCGAGCCTGTGGATTGTGTGAACTGAATAAATAATTTGAAGAGATATTCAGGGAGAAAAGTAACGTAATTTACGTATATAACAGAAATTTTCCGGGCTGATAGGCCGTGGACTAATTGACATTGAAGTGCCAAACGTTTCGTCCAGTACTGCGGTGGACATCCATGGACATCAATGGCGGCAGAGTTGCTGGCGCAGTGTTCACCAGTCGCCAGCGAGCCGCCCCGAACACGGCGCCCGCGACCCTGCCGCCACTGAAGATGTTCACCGCAGTAGTGGACGAAACGTTTGGCTCTTCAATGCCAACTACATCGCAGCCTACCAGAAAGGAAACTGTGTTATATTGAATCCGACAGTGAAAGCGTACGATGCTATGTAATGTACGTAGTTGAATGAGACTCCAAGCAAACTGTGCTCACGGACAGTTAAACAAAAGTCTTGTACATTGTATAATACATTTTATTTAACTTTGACTGAAGGAAAATTCAGTTGAAGTTTGTAAATAGTAAATTATGTTTAATTATTTCTTTGCTAAGTCTTTCATTCATGTAGGAGTTAAAATGTGTATAATTGAATCATTTAATTGAACTTTAGTAAGTTGTGTGAGAATATCGACGAAACTAAAGTATATTGCAATTTTATTTGTATTTTCTTTTACCCAAACAGGTACGAACAGTGCACGGTAGGGGAATATTTCCACAGTTCAATTCTTTTAAAGAAATTCTAAATGTTTCCACAGAGTTCTGCTAAAGATTAGGCCTCTGAAATGACATTCATGGTTCAAACCGAGTCAATATGAGTGTTATTCTTTTCCTCTGTGTCATATTTTGTTTGATTTTATTTTCATTTGTATGCATTGTATGCAGTGATTAATAAAATATACGCACCACGTTTATTTTGAATTCTGTGTTTGGTCTTTCCTTTCTTACATCCGAAAGATCGTGCTGCCGTGAGGTAAATACAAGCTCGCATTGAGCATTAGGTTGCGTCATCCCATTAGGTGCGCCAGGTGGGGTTAATTAGGCGGGGGTGGCACATATATATATATATATATATATATATATATATATGCCACCACGTTGGCCGATGCGTATGTGCGCGTCCAAAGATGCTACCTCCTGAAAATTTACTGCTGTGGGTGGATCGCACAGTATCTTTGGAAAAGTAGCGGCCCTTGTAAAACCAAGCCCACGCACAAGAAAAAAAGAAAATTATTAAAAATCATGCTATAGCCTAGTGCAACTGCGCGGTATTGATTGCTACCCCTCTTGCATTTGACGGCTGCGTCGCGGCGTCTTTTGGGGGCATCTTCGTTTGCTAAAAGAACTGTTTTGGCGACGCGTTGCCTCGTAGATTCGCCACGGTCTGCCATTAACAGGGTCATCTTATAAAAACATGCAGTCTGACTTTGTGGTCGCAAGCAGTCACATGTCCGGAGGTCATAAAATTCGCCCTGATTGGATGACACCGTAACAGCTCATGATCTATCAGACGCAGCTTTGAATAAATCGCAGTATATATTGGTATATATACAGCACGAAGCGTCGGCGCATGCACTTCTGTGAAGTTGAATTTAGAATAAATGATAGCAACGAGCGTTATCAACAAAATCTGATATTATAACAGGAATATTCTCTCCCTTGTAAAAGAAACTATTTTGCATCAGAAAAGGAGCTGCAGATTTGACACAATATACTTGGATTTATTTAGAGCTACCTCTGGCGCAAATTAGCTGTTACCAATCGGAAGGTTTGAACATCACGGTGAAGTAACCGTAGTGACTTATCTCCCGATTGGATGATACCGTGACAGCTGAGACCTGTCGGCAATAGTCGCATTATAGTCCAGTCGGCAAAATAATAAGACCCTCCTCTCGCATCTATCGAAATGAGGACTGAAGAAAACCTGTGCGTATTAATAGAAAATAGCACTACAATGATCAATCTTTGGTTCACCTTGAGATGAGAGAGGAAATTGGATAGTAGCAACTTGAACAAAGCAGACAAAAAGAGGGTATTAAGGGACCCAAGAAAACATGCACAGATTTGTTTCCCATGTCAATCACTTTGAAACAGAGCCGGATTCAGTAGTGCGGGGCCCCAAGCACAAAATTGTGTTGCCCCCCCCGAAAAAATAGCTCATCTTTATTAAATAAAAAAATGTATTATAGTACAAATACTTTCTGTACAGATACAAATTAAAACTGATAATTTTTTATAGAAATTTTTACTTTTGTTACACAGTAACTACTTGATTAACAATTATTTCACAGACAAAAAAATATGGTTTGCGTATTTTTCCGAAACGCGGGGCTCCTGGTGATTGGGGACCCCCAAGCAACTGCTTGTTTTGCTTGTAGGTAAATCCGGCCCTCCTTTGAAATTTTTATTTTAAAACATTTTTTTCCAGTTTTTAATGTAAATACAGGGCTCCTCAATTATTGAAAAAAAATGAACAATTTTTATCAATCGGTTAACATTCAACAACTTTTAATGAAAACTTTATTGCATTTGTGCTATTATATTACTTATTTCTAAAAAATAACTTTCAAACTATTAAGTGCAATCCTTTAATCAAAAATAGAATTTTATTACATAAAGCTACATTTTTAGAACAATCTTATACAAGGTGGCCCACTCCTTTCCTGAAACTAATTTCTCAGAGTATTCCTGTTTTTGCAAATGCATTTTAAAATTTTTCCGACACGACTTGAAATTTCACACTATGAAAAAAAATTACAGGCAGCCTCATTCTAATTGTCAGCTCTCTGATTTCACCCTGGCAGAGTACAATTTAACAATAATTTCTCAAAAATTAAAAATTGAGCAAAAAATAACGTTCTAAGGAAAAATATAAATTTGTATACCCCTCTCAAACTACACCTGACTTCTAGCAACTCTTTGACAAACTTCCTGATTTTTCCACAGCTATTAAATTCCATGCTTGTTTCTAGTTTTCCAGAAAGTGACCACCTACTTTTAATTCAATTGCATCACATACAAATACAGTCAACTCTGGCTATAGTGAACTTAAGCCACTGGCCCCGTTTCACTTACATTACAAATAAGCATAAGAAGATCCGGTTATAGTGAACATAGGAAATACAAGGTAACAGAAATTAATTCCCTCCTGGAAAATACTATATCGCCACAGTGCCACAAATTCAAACCCTACGCACCTTGAAAAAAATATCGCCGGTCAAAGGTCATAATCGGAGAAGCCTCCCTTAAGGCGAAGGTAGCGGATCCGAAATTTGGATCTTACTAATGAACTCATGCCACTCAGTTTCTCTGCGGCAAAAACTGGCGGCGGCGACGACCCGCGATTGTTTGCTTCAGTTTCAAGTGTCACTTGATATTCCGCTGAACAAATTACGTCGAGTTCTACATAGGCAACACGAAGCATGCGACAACCACAGCCTTGCGATATCCACAGCACCAGACAGGCGATCAGATTCATTACCAGCTTGCGCCATCCCATTACCGAAAACATTTCGTATGTTATTAGGCGAGTAAAAGGGCCGTCGGAGAGTGGGACGATATACCAACAGTGCAAGCAACATCGAAGGCTGTCTAGACCACATTACGATATTTCGACACAGAGGGCAATGCAGAATCAAGTATGGAGAGAGCACGAACTCTACATAAGGATCTAGGGAAATCACTCACGAAAAAGTATGAAGCAAACAATTGAAAATCATTGGTTTTTACGGCCAAAGATATTGAAATCTTCAGTTTGTGCTGTTATTGCATTTTTCTGTGTCAATAAATGAATAAAATATATTGCAATGGGGAAATTCTCTTAAATTTTGATATCATCAGATGTAGTACACCAAAACTGTTATAGTTTACTTGTTCACGGTTTTAGTCCCCAGAAGATCACTATAAATGGAGTCGACTGTATGGTTATATTAATTTAGTTAACAACAGAAATTCTCTACACTATCAGTCAAAAAGTGCAGGAGAACTAATAATTGAACTTTGCAAGTAATTTACAACTCATTTCTGTAATTGGGATATTTGCTAACGCTTTGTTCCCACTCACACACATTAATGTCCCACTATCACTAAATTCTATGTAACATATTTATTTAACAATATATTATATTCCAATGAATTGCACATTTGCTGATATTTATGAATAGAGATCACTGCATTATGTTCAAATCATAATAATTCAAATAAAACTATAACACTAAAGTTTAACACTAATACCCCCAAGAAATGAGTGTTTGATTTAGAAATATCCTCCCCCACTTCCTCTGTTAAACAAGCAATTGGGTGAAATTTAATAGAGATATTAAAATAATTCTAGGCCTATCATTTTAGAATTTTCAAATTTAATCACTAGTAACATTTTTGATTAATTTTAACAATCATTTCTAGTTTGAAGTTAATAAGAATTATTATCACACAAATAATGCTTTTCTTCAACCTTCTTCACCTTCAATTACTTCAACCACAATTGTGGGGATCTCAAAAAACTAACGTATTTTTGAATGGTATCCAGCAACCTGGGCTTCCCATAAATATAACTATGTATAAATTCTACCCTATATATAAATTACTATGGTAAAAAAAGATTATTTTGATGGTCAAACTCATGAGCTTAATACTTTCTACAACAGTTTTATCATTGTTTTTATTCATTTGTTGACTTCGATCTGAAATTAATTTGTAGATGAAAATATTTCAGAGTAACTCTGCTTGAAAGTTACAATTTAAAATAAAAATATATTAGGACAAAAAAATCGTACCATGCTCTTTTAACCAAAAGATGAAAAATTATCTTAATACAATAGATGCACTTTATACAAGACTATTTATGTTCCTGAGCAACATGCCAGTGAAATCCATCATTACCAATTTCATAAGACAGAACTTTTCTATTTGAATTATCACAAATATGAGCATAAAATAAGTTAACACTGTTTAAAACCTTCTGTAATTTAATCTGTCTTGATATCTTGCCATACTTGCCAATTACATTGCTGTCATTATGAACTTTTGACTGAAAATACAGAGGTTTTGTGTATATCACAGACACTTTGAATTCATGGATATGTTTTTGAAGTGATATCAAAATTTTCTTCAAGTACAGATCCATTTTACGAATGCCATTGTTGTTTAAAGTATTTTGCCAATAGAATGCTGATACACTGTCCAATACTAATAAACTTATGTTTCTGTTGCACGATAAAATATTTTCAAGTCCATGAAAAGTAATGAGAAGCTGAACACCATCATAGCAATGTAATATTGTTAGATTATCTAGTGCATCTTTTATGATACTTTCAACAGTATTTGCATCCACTAAAGAATTACTAGAACGTGCAATATAAGCTTCCATTATGGTTACAAGTTTTAAAACTTGAAAATGATGATCTGTATCAATAATGACAGCTCCAGCATTTAGTCCTCCAATATCTATACCACAATACGATTTTGGTAGAAGACATTTGGCCAAGAACTGGGTGACAAGAAGAGTTTTCCCAGAAGATACATCGCCATTTATTTCAACAATTTCGTTGGGTAAAAGACCCGATTCAAAAATCACATTGTCCAAATCGATTAAACTAGGTCTAGTCTCCAACCGCGAAAGAAGTTGTAACCCCGATTCAGCGCCAAGGTGTGACTGCAAAGTGTCCATTTCGGCGTTTTGTAACACACTATCCGATTTGTTCGATGAAATAATTTCCTTTTGGCACTTGTCTTTATCATGACACGACCAGCCACAGATATAACCAAATTTCAATAATCACTTCTATTCGAAATTGCAAACTTAGAGTGCTCTGGATTCTGGAAGTTCATTTCATTCATTTGGATCTGTAATTCGTAGCACTACATATCGTCATTTTGGCTTTAATCGATATCCGATATTTTGGTCGATATTTATCGAGATTTGTTGGTGCACGCCCAGGGAGCTCTATATATTTAGTTGGGATCACTGTGCGAGCTATAGCGACAGCACTATCGATCTTCTGCGCACGCGCAAATGCACTAATGTGGTGCAAAACCTAACCTGCGCATGAGCAGAAGATCGATAGTGCTTCAACGAGGTGGCACAAACTCCCTCCTGTGTACCTATATTTCGATTTATGTGAAGCTGCTTTTGCAAGGTCGTCAGCTGTTGCGGTGTCATCCAATCGAGAGCGTTTTCGTCATTACAGTGACAGTATAACCTCCCGATTGGATGACACTGATTACCGTCAAGTGCAGTAATGTTTAAATCCCAGACTGTATATGACAGAGAGTATGCAATATGGGATATGTATACGCGCACGTTCTATGGAGCCTCGGAATACCTTCTCACCATTCATGTACTAACATTAGTTGAATGAATAATAAAGTAGAGCAACGAGCTTTCTTGGCAAAATCAGATCACCGGAAATGTTCGCTTTCGTTTAAGATATATTATTTTATATCGAAAATGAGCCACAGATTTGATATAAAAGGACTCGTCGAAATTTCCTCGAATACCTTCCCATTCCTGTCGCATCTATCGAAAAGTGAGCTCAAGGAAATCAAACCTGTATACACAGTACAGAGTCACAGTTATAATAAAAACTTTTTTTAATTATTAATATCAAGCCATACTTTTTGCGCGAAGGCGAGAGAATATAAGAGATCAGAAATGTCCAGACCTTAGGAGGCCGTCAGGCTGAGGAATGTCATGCAAGTGTCAGTCAACCGAAGACACGACCACGCTTAACCCTTAAGTGTCATTAATTGTCACTATATTATATTGTTGTTTTTGAGAATGCTATCTTCGAACTGGTGAAATCGCAATTGCTGCGAATAAATGGTAGTACGAGTAGGGGAATATTTGAAAAAAGCATTCATGATATTGATGATTTAGGTTACATAGTGGATGAAAAGTCTTCATGATATTGGCTGGTTGTATAATTCATGGCAAACAGAATGTTTGTGAAACATTTATTGGTAAAAAGTGATTGTGCAACGTGAACCAAGAATCAAATTAAATATAATTAAGGAACGTTTATAAAGGTGTGGTACAAAAAGTATGTTTTGTGTCATGAACTGTTTTTGTTACTGATATCATTTTTCCAGAACACTTTGATCATAAGAGTTCAGTAAAGATTTGGGTGTGATAAATAATTTAGAATTAAATATGGTGATGTCTCCACGCCAGTTTTCCCAAAATTGGTGGAGAGAAGTTCTGAAAAAAGTTAAAAAATCTCTTGTTTTTATTGATGATGAAGCAGCTGAATGTCTTCACTGGAATGGAGGTTTATTTGAACTTATTTCAGCTGGTGCTATGAATGTTAAACAGTTTTCCTCGTTTGAAGTTAGTATTATTGCAACTTAAATACATTACTTCATTCTATGCAGATATAATTGCGTATTTTCATTTGCAGAAAGGAGAATCTCATCAGAAGAAAGCAATTTTTATCACAGCATCATCTGATGTCACTAAAAGTAAATTAATCGTTCA